GACATCGACCCAGCCATGCCGAATACCATGAACAGGTGCTTTTCTTCTTGCGGAAAGTCCCAACATGTCGCTGTGCTCCTCCCTGTCCGTTCCCCGGATCATGAAGTACTGCTCATTTTGACCACTGATCGAGCAGTTCAAGCCTTGTGGTGATATCCTTGCTGCTGTGACGCAGAGTCTCAGTCATTGATAGTCTAAGCTCCGTTAAGGCGCGTTGACATAGCAGCCCCCCACCCCTGGACAGAACAATGAACATGTCTTCTCATATCCACCTTGACTATTGCTCGCAGGAGTCTCGGCAGTGCTTCTGAACAAACACACCAACCACCCTGACACACTACTAAACAATCACCAGTCCTCATCAAGCAGTCTTCACCATCAACTAAGTTGACAAGCAACTCGGTCCATGCTGGCCACCCTTTCAACTCTCCCAAGGCAATCCCAATCGCATCGCCCGCTTTGTCGGGGCTACGAGATTGTCTCAATGAGTAAACCCAAAATGGGTGGCTTTCCTTTTCCCTTGAAACGACCCCGAAAAGGTACTCAAAAATAAGACAGAAGGCCGCCAGAAGGCCAACCTGCCTCCATGCATCTCAGCCCCGTTCTTGCCGCCCTTGCCCCCTGGCTTCAACGGGTGTATCAGGCCCAAAGCTGTGGGACATTTGGGGCAAAACGGGGAACTTTTAGAGGGGGTTGATTCAGACACTGCAACTGAGGGCTGGGCCGCGCTTGTTGGCACCTGATCCCCAAGAAAGCTGAGCTGAGATGAGCCGCGTCCAATGAGCCCAGCGCGTTCGGCTTCGCGGGCCTCTTTTGCTGCTTTCCTGGCACGCTCAAAATGATCTTCGGTTGAAAGCCTTGAGACAATCTGGGGATTGTGTTTTCATAACACGTCACCATGCAATTGACGAGAACCCGAACGTGCCACAACCAGAACTGCGACATTGGATTGGAACTTGCTCCGAAAAGTCGAGGGGTCAGACTGTCGCCCACACCTTTCAGCTTCTTTGCGCTGCTTTTCTTCCTCCTTCTGAACACGCTCCTCAGAACGATGCCGTCCATGCCCCCCCGAAAAGCACTGTGCTGGTCCTGCTCCTTCTTTGCTTCCTCCTCCTTGATCTTGCGTTCTTCCTCACGCACGAAAGGATAGCTCCTTGATGTGAAACTACCCTGTCCAGCCTTAGCTTGCTTCTTGTTCTTTACCGTACCCCAGTCTTCTTTTTCATGGTTCGCACGATCCTGGCAGGAACTCTCAATGCAAATGAAAACCGCCTCAACCGATTTCGGGTAGGCATGTCAAGCATCTTGGAAGCGTGAACGGCCTCGACGATATTCGCCACAGCTATCTGAATTTGGTTCCTCGGATTCATGCTGCGATGTTCGTAAACCCAACCCTGCTTGCAGCAGGTCTAAATCAGCATGCTAAAAACATTCAAGACACAAGTACTTGAAAAAGAGTAATCTGCTGTGCGTGTTTGTGTGCGTATGGGTCCTTCCGTAGCTTGCATGAACTACTCTAAAAATAACAAAACATGATGTGCATCAAGTCAGTACCAGCCGCCGCCCACGTGCACGCAACAAGAATAAGGTGCGCACTCATCGTGGTGGCATCGCCGCACTAAAGAGGCAATGTCACTCCGCGAGTACTCGAAAAAGTCGAGCACATCGGTCCTGGGCAACGAATGCATCCCCACGTCGTTTCTGGCCACAGAAAACATCTCGCTCTGATCGTGTGCCATGAGCCTCGGCCAAAATCACTTAGACTTGCTTCCACAAGGGCATAGCTTTGGGGAAATTTGTGTGGGCCCGGATTCTCGTCCGCAAGTGACAACACACAACCGGTCTTGTTGCTCACATCATTCTACTGGCTCAGGCCTTTGCACCCACGCTCATTGAAAACATTGGAAATTTGAGACCCTGAGGAGGTCTCGAGATTACCCATCGGAATCCGTAGTGGTACCTCAACAGGGATCCTTACATTATACACCTGAACATTGCCTTGTAAATGGTGGTGTCCCTTTATTTTGGTGGAAAAAGCAAATGTTTCAAATGGGCACCGTGTATCTTTTAAGGAGCCCTGCTCAACCCATGCTCAGATTTGACCGCGGTGTCTCTGCTCAGCGCCCCACAGCTGCCGGATGAAGATTTCTGTGCGCGGGGAGTACCTACAAAGACCAGGCAATCGACCCGCTCGCTCCCCTGAACACCAAGTCTGGACTCGTCTCTGCTGGAATGTAGCCAAACATGTCTTGGTTGACGTTGGAAGGGAAGCAACAAATTAAATGTTAGCAGTTCAGCGGGGATTTCCCACTAAACCACAATAAGCAAAAATGTAAAATGTTTTCCAACAACAACCATGACATCTCGATATCTTGATAACTTGAGTGGTGAGTACTCCCGAAACACCTGATCATGCCGGGCTCACGTCTTGTCTTCTTCCTCACCTTTTCCAGCTACCTAGGCTCAGCTGTCAAACATGCCCAGGTACGTTGCCGGCACAAAGAGCAAAGCACAACTCATGAAGCACGTGTCGTGTTTTTTGGGAACCGCGGCCTTTGTTGAGAAGCGGTCTGCACGTTGAGCCCGATGCGGTTTCCAGCACGCGCAGCTGCTGGGCAACTCGGACATCGGTTGCCTTGGTCTCAGCTAGCAGAAGCCTGGTATCTTCACTGCCATCGCTGCACGTGTGCAGTTTACCAGCAGCATGTGTCCAGCAGGTAGTGCAATATAAAGCATAAAAGCGCTGCCATATCCTGGTCCTGGAAAACCCTTCAATCTGAAAGTTTGTGCGTCGATGTGATTTTTACGCCTCTTGGCACGCCTCAGTGAGAATATGATGAAAGCCACAAAGCCTGAACATGGTCTGGTGCCATCCAACTGGTGGTGTCCTTATTCGGGAATCCCGACATGGTAAAACTGGCGCACCCAGCCTGCAAAGAGTTCCGGGGTCTTGCCAACACACGCCCCCAGAAAGCACTCAACGAGGATTCGAAATGTTTTGGGCCAAATGGCCCCGGTGAAGTGTGAAGATGTTCCATCAATTGGGCTAATGTCAGGAGACGATTAGTAAACCCCCCGATTAAAGGTTCCCCCTTTTCCTCCCCAGATTCTCACCAATACTAAAGTAAAATGCCAACAAGGTTTCCCCAAAAAACAACCTACCCAAGGATTTTTGGGCCCTCCCCAAAACCCCCCTGATTAAAGGTACCCCTCTGCAGCCCCCAAGCCATCAAAACCTGCCAGACAAGTTGCTTTCCTTCTTGCTTAGTATTTGCTTAGCTTGTGCTTAAACCCACCAATACTAAGTCACTATTGAACCCCTCAAATTTTCCCCAAAAATGTGCTTCCCCCGAAATGCATTTTTCTTTATTAACATTCGTTTAAAATGACAAGGTTTTCAAGCTCACAAACAGGACCCTTCTTGGAGGCCAGTCCCCCCTCATTAGCAGAAACCCCCCCGCGATTAATCAGGGCCCGTTTGGGCTCAAAACCCACAAAAAATATGCTGTTGCCTTTTAAAGTCCTACTGCCCCGAAGGGACCAGAAGTAAGAGGACGAGGACCGAAGGGGCTCCAGAGCAATCAGGGGGGTCCTCCCGAAAATCTCAATTTTTGTGACTTGTCCAAACCTTGTCGACCTTGAAGGGGGGGGGGGGAGGAGGGGGTTTACTAATCAGTTGTCACCATTACCTTGCTCTTTGAACGCCCAGCCCAATCGGAGCATGGTGCCGGTTCGAATTCACTGCTCATTGAACGAGCGCTGTCGACGGAGCTGATGGTGCGGCATGTCCGGTCAAAGGTGGGCTTGCGTCGCCGCGATTGAACAACAGCGACAAGGAACTCTAGAAAGACTATGAACGACTTTCCTTGAACGGGTATACCGCAATGCGGCTGTGGGTCAAAACCAATGGTACCATTTTGGGGTAGGTGCCCACCCATTTTTTTTAGTGGGGATTGGGATGTTCACTGGAGGTACGATTTGGCTTTTGACCCACAGCCATTTATCCGAAACCCCTGTTTTTCAGAAGGGACCCCACCATGTGAGAGAACAGCTTCCGCAACTTTGAGACCTGTTCCGGCACGCGGCACTGCCCAGAAAAACCGTGGCCCCCCGGCTGCAGGCGGTGGCGGATTGCCGTTCTCCACGGTAGCTGGTTGCGCCTGGCGTGAGCCCTTCTGGGACCCCAGTGCTTGTTGGGAAAGTGGAAAAGTGGAAAGTCGTTCAGGTCCAAGCAACCAACCAAAACCCCAACCAACACCACAACCAACCAACCAACCAACCAACCAACCAACCAACCAACCAACCAAATCGCAGGTCGCAATTTGCAACAGCAAGAGAATCGATTCGGCCTCAAATCCGAACACAGCCAAGCTCCAAGAATCAAAGCAACTTGTGGCTGAGGATCATAAAAAAAGCAAGCATCTTGGGACCTGAGGACCAGCTCTGAGCTTTGCCTTCTTGGTGACAACCTTCTTGGACATGTCCTGACCTCAATGCTTGGCAGTTTTGTCGCATGGAGTCTGCCCATCTACGACACTGTGATCCCTGCAAGCAGCAAACACAAACACTCCAAGGGAAGCACTTGCAACCCATGAGTCTCTATGAATTTGTTTGATATGGGTATTTTCATGCCATGCCAAGCAAGAAAAAAAGGTATCTCCTCCGCTTCCCTCACGTTTCGTGGCTAGCTTTGTGGCAGGCACCCAATGCCGCCTTGCATAGTGAAATAGGGAAAAATGTCCATGTCAAGACTCCTATTGGAGCTCCAAAAGATGGCCTCAAGCGCAAGTGCCCATCGAAAATTTGGTCATGGGACCCATGCATTTCTCCATTTTGGGGCGGAACACCCATGTACCACCTATTTTGATGCTCAGGGGCACAGGGTTTTGACAACCACTGCCATTTTCCTGAGTGGATTGGCTAAACTTCTTCCTAAGGCCCCCGCTTGCCGGGCCGGCGGAACCTTTGGATTCGGTCCCAAGCGGCCCCGAGCCCTCACTGCGGAACGGCAAAGCGTGCACTTTGAGACAGACTTGAGTCATAACCAAAGCCTGGCAGCAAAAAGGTCCACCCAGAACCCTGTAAAGAATTAAAAAAGGCAGCTGCACCCATTTCTGGTTGGGATTCTCCCTTAATTACTAACCTTCGTCTATCCGGGCTTTGATTGTGGCTCACTTTCCCCTGGGACCTTGGATCAAACCTCATCTGAGCTTGCCATGAATGCGAGTCAGGCTTGACAACCCAGGCCCCTGGTGCCTCGAGGTCTAAATCTCGAACATGCGAGAGGCTTGAGAATTCTTGGGTGCTGAAAAAAATCAAATCAGCTGCGTCTTCTACTAGATTCACTAGATCTATCTCCACTTGAAACCTGACGCAGGCCCTCCTTTTGTAGCACTCCGGGCCATGCGCGACTCCGCTTCGGCCTTGGAGCCGAAGCCGAAGCTGCCCGGGTGGGTTTCGGATCCGATCCGCGCCGCAGGGCCTCACAGCCTTGCTTTGTACAGCCGAAACACCTGAGGTGTGGCTCAAGAAATGGGAAGCTCATGGGAACCCCCCGATCGGTAAATGGAATGGACTAAAACCTGTTTGATGTTTGGTTTGATTTTGAATTTTGACCCATACCCAGGTGGAATAAGCGTTGGATGCTGGCACATAAGCAGCGATAGCGAGCGGCTTTTGTTGTGCCTCACACTTTTGCCAGCAGCATCCACACCATGCAGTCAGGACACTGGTTCATGGACGGCGATATTGAACAGAAAAGCGGCGTGAATCCATGCGCGGTGCGCCTAGTTCTATTTTGTGCAAAAACGGTGTTGTCGCAGACGTTCCGCGTGCGGAGCGCCAAAACTGTGGTAGCTCTCTGGGACACCTGGCCAGCACTGAATGCTGTTATATAATAATAATAAAAATGATCTAGGCGTGTATGGGCTCCAGGCGGCGTTCCAGCCTTAGAAGGCACACTGACTCTAATATGTCAAATCAAGAGCCCCTCCAGGGGCAATCCATAAGACACATTTTGCAAATCAAACGCGGAACTTATCATTCTGCCACATGCTGCCACTACTGCCAAATGCTTGGCATCTTGCCGCTGCAGTTTCTGAAATGTTTTCGTCACACAACCCGAGTTGTTCCAGAGATGCACAAAGAGTGCCCTTCTCACCAAAAATGTCTGCAGTGGAGCACATAGCGCTTCCAAATGCCCGACCACCTATGGCAAGCGTGACGCGACCCCCGCAGTGGGTGCGTTTTTTGTTTTTTTTTTCTCCCGGACGTCGTTCGGACGGTCCAAAAGGAGGGCAGCTCCGCAAAGAGAGGCGTAGCTTGGCAATTCACCAATGGTCCGAAAGTGCCCAACCGGCCACTGCGACATGTAACACTCTTGCAAGTCATATGGAACGCAAGCAGCATCTCTAGCGGGATCTCCTTTTGGGGGACCCCTTCTTGTGTTCAATGTTCATTCGTATGCGAGGAATTTGCAAAAATCCGAGATCCGTGGAATCAACGCTGCCCTGACAGGCGGAACTGATTTGATGGGTCAAGAATGGACATCCAAAATGGAGCTCTGGTAAAGGGAACCCCAGCGCTAGAACCTGCGGGCTCCTAGTAGCTTCATTTTGACCCATGCCCAATTGCCCTGGCTGACGGATTCACACTGCAGAACAAAATGCACAGGAGCTCTGCATCGCCCTCGAACATTTTGCCCTCCCCAAGCCTAGGCTAGCACACCTACAGCAAGCAGGCAGGCAGACTTTGGTGACGAGAAGAAACCCGGCGCAAGAATGAACATGTAAGGGGACTGCCGGACTTGACCGGGCGATTGACTATAGTTGTGCTTGATCAGCGTGCTAGATCTGACGTTGGCGTGCGGAGGTCACGTGCCGCGACTTGCCACGCCGGTGGACGCTTTATGCTGGCCATTGGCCTAGCTGCATGAATTGTCGGATGGCCGGACAGGGGTCACTGCAACAACAACTTTGCTGCGCCTCGTGACCCCCCGGCTTACAGAATCTATTCTCGGAAGGCGCTCGTGGCTTTCTCGCGCAGTACATCCGCATCAGGAGGTCCATTCAAAACAAATCGACTGCGAGAATCTTCGAAGGATTGAACCGGTCACAGGTCTTCATTCCAGCTTAGGATCCTGCATGCCGCAAGCCTCGTCATTGAGTATTTGTTGCACCTTCCGGCCAGCAAAAGAAGAAGGTAACCCATCTTGGATGAGTGACAATGAGGATTGATGGTCAACTTCCCTTCGATGTCTCACTTGTCCCTTGCTAACCCAGCCCAAAGCAAGCTCTGCATTCTGTTCTCGACTCCAGCATGCGAACCCCAGGCCGAGCATAAATCCTGCGCTGTGACCGGCTCCCAAGATGGCAACCCGAAACTTTTCATGGCAGCCATTTTGAATTGGGGCTCTTGAAAACCAAAGGTTCTGGTCGAAGATTGGCAACAGTTCTTGAAGCAATATGGTACCCTGGTACCCGGAAAGGCACCCTGGTGAATGGAACAAAGGATAAAAACCTGCGGTCTGGTGGTTTAATTTTGACTCATTCCCATGTTCTTGCTGAGCTGACCAACTTTTCCTTCTTCCGGCACGTTCAGTCTTCAAAAGCCGAGCCCGTTGTGCAAGACCGTGGCACCTTGACGAGCCCGCGCCCTGAAACGTCGCCATAGAAATTCTTGAGGCATACCTCCGATCATCTCAAGTTGCCACCAGCACGAAAGTCCTTTCGCGCGAAAGTCTTAATCTGGCTCGCTGAGCGGACCTTCAACCGACCAGTTGATCGATCAGGCTGCCACAATCTGGAAGCATCCCAGATTCCAACGAAAGCCGATAATTTCACACCAGCTCACATGTATCGCTCGCAGCTACTGTGTATAGCTGAGCACAAAGATCAATGTTGGCTTCAAAAACCACACTGACCATATGAACCTGCCATTTATCAATTTAGAAGCACTTTGGGCGAGCAGGCCAACAAAGGTTGCCTTCCTCGCAAGGGTCGGTCATAGACTCTTGGCCCACGAGCCTCGCGCCCCTGCCCGACACATGGGGTGCGAAGTGGCCAGCGACAAGAGTCTGTATCCGGCTCAAAAGTTCCGAATTGCAGGCATAGCTCAGATCAGAACGGAGGTCCTCTGTACTCCTTGCATGTCAACGTCACCCGTTCTCTTGGCCCTTCCCACGTGGCAACACTTCTCTCTCACAGATTGACCTGGGTGTCTTATCTCAATTTGATGCCAATCCCATCCCATCCAGGCCAACCCCCTTCGAGGATTCAGCGCTCCTGTGTCTCCTGCGGCATCGGTCAGTGCACGGGAAATGGGAAACTTGGCGGGCGAGTTGGAAGCGAGATGACCCAACGAGGATGCTGCGAAGCCTTTGAGCCCCGCCCTCCAAGCTTTGGATGTCACAGTTTGGGAGACACAGCCTGGCAAGTCTGCTCTCAGCTTCAACTGAGTCTTGAGGAATGGCAGAACTGCTCACGTGAATGAGGCAAAGGTTTTGGCACCAGGTTGCGCACAACCGATTTAAAAGGGAGTCCTTGAACCTGACATGAGAGACCTGCGATGGCCCATCGCATCTCAAGACCCGCCCCCAAGGCTCCATGCCAAAGTCTGGCCGTCTGACCATGCGCAGGAAGGCGCCGCCAGGCCTGAAGGCGCGGGCAACCTCCAACCTTGTCACGCGCTTCTCAGTTCGTTGGTCCAACAAGGATTGCTCCTGTCGCGAGCAATCACTATCAGTCACTATCGTTCCCAATGGAGAATGATCCCTACTGTTCGCAGCAACTGGCTCGTTTGCCCAAAGGTTCATCGCGATCCCCATCTCAGTACTATCCACAGAAAAGTCAACCTGAAACATGGCGTTCTGAGAAGAATGGGCATGCTCCTCTGGTTGGGCCCAACCGAAGCATCACTCACCTGTCCGGGGGCTGTCACATTCCAAGGCAGGGTGGCCTACGGATCAGTTCGCTTTGGTAAGAGCATGCTGGCATTAATTTGAGGGATTGTTCAAAAAGGCGGTGCCTGGAAGCTTCCCTTGCGCCGCCTTCTTTTCGCGGCCCTGCTTTCCCTTCGCGAGGCCAAATGCTCGTTGTCGAGCTCTGCTTCTTGCGAAGCAGCTGAGCCACTTGACGCAGAACTAATTATAGTAGTCTCGTTCTGGTCGAAGGGCTAGGCCCCACTTTGGACGCTCGCCCTTGAAAGATCCTTTGCGGATTTCGTCGGTGAAGATTCTGACGGCGCAACTCCACGGAGAAAAGAAAACACAAATGCTGTGATCTTGCCGCCAACAGCAGGGGGTTGATCAATACTCCTGGCCCCCAAACAACCATGGGTAACTTTTCCTTCTTAGTGGGAAACATCATCTTTTTAGTGGTTGTCCTCAATGGTCATTCCGTGTAAAGGACCAGATGGTGAAGAGACATGACATCCCATTCCTCACTCCTTCCCAGACCTTTCGATCAACCCCCAGCAAGAAAACAAAAACAGCACGATGTGTTCGCTGTCCGTATTCGTTGTCTTTGCAGTGCTTTCGCGTTCCTTTCGCCGGCCTTTCGCGGGGCGCAGGGCTTTCCTTTTGCGGCAGCACTTCGGGACCACGCTTTACATAGTTTGAGACTTGCAATTGAGAATGAAAATTAAAGCGAAGATGCGATTCGACGGCACATTCTTTGATGATTGACTCCACTCTCAAAGAAAAACTGCAGGGAGGACAATGGCTTCAACAAATTACCCTGATAGGCCAATCAGCAAATAGCAAGGTGTGGCAAGCATTTCTCTTCGCACATCTTACGTATTTTTCTGAAAACACAACGTGGCCGGAAACCAACCGCTCTTACGTATTTTTCTGAAAACGCAACGTGGCCGGAAACCGCGGTTCGAGCTGCGGTAGGACGGCGACTCTGAGGCGTGCGCTGGAGATCGGCATCTGTTGTATCAAAGTAGCTGCAGTCGCGGCCGCCCCCTGGCTTGTAGGGAGGCGTGAGGATGTCGAAGAACC